TTTTTTGCCATAAACACAAGTTCGGCGTATCTAAAATCAATTTGCATTAATAGGTTAAATTAACTATCGAGGAAATAATTACCTAATGCGTTTAAAAGATGTGATAGGATCGCAACGAGTGACGAAATGGCTGCCCATAACAGTGTCAATAAGGCTGTTGGGGGAGGATTTGGGTGGCGCTGGTGGCGTTACACAAGTGGTCATTTATTCCAGTTAAAAATATAGGAAAATCGTCGGTGGGAACTTAAAGTGGCCGCTGACCGCTAGTGGCCTTTGATTTCGAGTGGCCGCTAAGACAAGTTTGACTGTATATGTATAAGAGGGAAATTGGGATCCGCCAATGAATATATAAATGCGATATTCAGATTTAAAGGAGCGATTTGCCAGTGAATGGAATGTTTAATTCGAACAGGGCAAATTATTCTACAGGCAAGTTACCAAAGCTGAAAACTCTCTAGCATTGTCGCGCATGCGTAGCCTGTTGTTTGCCCATGGCATCCGGTTTAACCTTTCATATATTTACCGCCTTACAGAGTTTTCAAATAAGTTTCCTTTTGTCAGTGGTTTTGAGAAAATATTTTGAAAGATTTATATTTCCTTATTTCGATGTAAAACTTTTATTCTCTAATATGTTCTACGAGGCGACCGTTGGGGCGAGCGCAGTTATTTACTACCAAAATCCTTTACACTTTTACTTGCATTGCCTATCCTCAGTTCATTAAAAAAAGAGAAAAGGATACAAGAAAAATAATTTACCAGGCATCGGGATCGAGATTCCGAATTTTTCGGAAGTTTCCGACAAAATCGGAAATACCCGAGCCGTAAAAGTGACGAAAGTATGAAGTCAAATAAAAATTCCAGTTGACAGTTGAGAACGCATACGATAGTTTTGTGGCATGGAGATTGCATTAAATCGTTGTTTGTAATTTTTTTTTCAAGCAAGTTCTTGCTATGTTTTAACCACCATGTTGCTATTCACCGCAACGGATTATTGGGAGTTTGGAATTTTTTCACGTGGACTCATAAAATTTCTTGGAACATTGTGCAGATTTCAACCCGAATTTCCTCCGTTCGTAAACGTTTGTCTATTCGCGCCGCCTCGCCGTGCTCGCTATAAAGGTACCACCCTAACCCAGGGACAATGATTTGAGCAATTAAGAATCTATACTACACCAGGAAGTTTCGATATAAGATATACGTTTTGTAGTCAAGTGGGGTTTGAGAATATTTTTATTGGTTATTTCTATATGTTTCAATGTAAAAATGTTATTCCCTTTCTGTTGGCCAACTCTACATGTACCCCCTGAGCAATTATTTGAATATTTTGTGAGGAAGCTTCTACATAGGATCATTTTTTTTTTAATCTGGTGATTTTTTGAGAAGATTTTTTTTTAGAATCCTATATATAAATGTTTAAACTTTTTCCAGCCCCACATTACTCTCGAAGGCAATACGTTCTTCAAAACAATGTTTTAAATACCTCATCTTTTCGTGATATTAAATACCACATCTTTTCGTGATATTTTTCCTTCGGGAGTGGGCTTGCCCCTATATTTACAATGTAAAATTTCCTTTAGCAAAGGATGTTTTGAACAGTCTTTGGTTAAAATTGAAGTGCTTCTTGAGAAGAAGTTGAAATATGAAAAAAATACAGGAAAGATTAGGAGACAGATAGAGAGACGGACAGATAAACAAATAATTATCAGAAAAGCCGCTCTAGTTAGCTAAAATCTTAACCCAACCATATTTGGAAGAGGATATTCTTCGTATTTTTCTGATACTTTTCAGTCAAATATAAAGTCTTAGCTTACCTATTTTACGTATCTTTCTGGGTGAAGGTAATACAGAATCGCTGGGAACTGATACAGTATCTGTAGAACTACCTGTAAAATCCATAAAATCTGTTAGATAAAAAATGATATGAAAAAGAGGCCCATGGCCCATATCACTCACCTGTAGCTAGGAACAAGCATAAATCAGAACAGTATGTGCATCAGTTGTCCTGACCCTAAACGGGGTGGGGTATGGTTTTTACAAATTTAAATCTACGCAAACTTGAATCTCGTGCACTGAGGATTATTACGTATTTTTTTCAATTAGAATAACTGCTTTTTCTTTTTGAACTTTTATCTTTGTCTCATTTTACGCCCCGGAGTCATTATTTCAACAAATCTGCATCTTCAATATACCTGAGGATGCTTTCATAAAAACATGACAAATCATGAATTTGCTGTTCTTGAGCATATTGAGAAGAGTCATCCTACATTATCCTACATTATCTTATGTCAATCTTTGATCGTCCACTGTAGCCCCAAACTGAGCCCTTGGGGGATCATAATTTGAACAAATTTGAATAAACTCTACCTAAGGACACTTCCAAATAAGATATGACTATCCCTGGCTTTGCTGTTCTCAAGAAGATGATTTGAATGGTATTTTTTATATATATTTTCTTGTGTAAAACTTTGATCGTCCACAATACATGTAGCCCCTCCCTTATCCCAAGGATCATGATTAAAACAATCTTGAATCTTTATCAAATGTGGATGCTTCCATATACATATGGCCAGCCATGGTTTTGTTCTAGAGAGAAGATTTTTTTCTATACGAGGGTTGTTCCAAAATTTCGTAGACAAGCTGCGTTCTTCAATTAATTGACGTCACTGAGAAATGGAGTTTCATAGACCAAAGAACACTTAATCTTTAATAAATTACATCGATATATTAAATATTTTCTGAGTTAAATTGATATGGTGAAGATATCTTGTATCAAACAATTGAGAGGCGTCGCAATGTCAAAAACAACAAAATAGAATAATTATCATGAATTTGTAATTGTAAAGTATATAAGTTTCAAAATAAATTTTCAGGGAAAAAATATATATAACAATGTTTGAAAAATGTTCTATTTTCCCACAAAATTATATGATTATTACGTAATTTTGGAGGTTTTGTGCAACTGTTTGTTGTGTTCAATTTGGCAAGAAATGGCGACGTCAACGTCAAGGGCGGCGTACCTGGAAGTTGTGAAATTCTGCTTAGAGCTAGGATTGACATAAACACATAAAAAGCTTAAGTTCACAGAAACACATGTATCTCGCGCTTAGTGGTTAAATTGCACATGAGATGGTCAGAGGGATATGAGGATACCAAGACAGGAAAGAGAGGCCGACCAAAAGAAGTTAGTGAAAAAATTGTTGAAAATCTGAACGACATATTTCGTCAAGACGGAAGACGGAACGTGAGAGATAGAGGACATGCTTGGAATCAGTAAATCATCCGTTTATCGAACACTTTCGTAAAGATTAGGGATGCAGAGGGTATGTGCACATTGGGTACCACGGATCCTGAAAAATGAACGACACTGATCTGTTAAACACATGTTCCCCATGTTTATGGACAGACATTGCATGATTCTAACACATGCTGTCCATACTGGTCAGACGGTAAATGTAGCTTAATATTCCAAGGTTTTGCGACGGGATCTTATGCATGCACTGAGGAAAAAAAGGCCTGGTTTAGACCAAAACAAGGAAAAACATTTTCCATCAAGATAATGCGCCAAGTCAACAGCTGTTAAAAACAAAGTTGGAATTTGACTTGCTTGGATTTGTCAGAATCAGTCACCAATGATACAGCCCAGACTTGGCACCAATGTATTTTCCCTTACCTAAAGGCTGAGCTGAGAGGCCAACGATTTTTAGACCTGAACGAGTTCATGAAGGAAACCTTAAGGATCCTCGCTGGACTGGACCAGACATGGATCAACTATGTGTTTGAGAAGTTGATTGACATGTATAAGAAATGTATTGAACATAATGGCAAATATTTTGAGAAAGAATAAGAAATCGGTGGAGCGCTGGTATATATTTCTAGCTTAAGAGCTCCAGAAAACGATCGTTTTTCGTTTCTTTTCTCTCGTTTTTTAAATATTTTTAAAATTATATGTATCAGCTTTGTAAACATACAACATTTTAATGCACATGCATTTGATAATATATATATATATATGTTACAGTAAATATGTGTAATCAGGAATTTTATGTATTTACTGAATTTTAGGAAATACATGAAATTCCCATACTGCTTAGGAAATACATGTATTTACTGTTTTCAATTAGGAAATACATGTATTTGCTAAAATTTTCTATACTTTTTTCATGAATTTACTGACAGTGTATTGGTGGTCTATTTTAATACTATGAATTGTTTTTATTGATGTACAGTCATTTAAATCTTTGCTTTACCTTTACCGACTAATACTCAGTGAGTAGAGTTCATTTGCTTGTTGTACATACACTTGATATAAAGCCCACAGGGTTTTGGGTGGTTCACTTTCCATTTAAAATGGCTAATGAAAAGGAGAGGATTTTTACGCAGGAACTCTATACATGGTTTCAAAATGATAAGTCCGACAAGCTCTTATTACCAAAAGAAAAATTGAATGGAATTGTAGAAAGGCTTAATGTGCTGACTCTGGAACAGAATCCAAAGAAGACAAGAGAAGATTATTATCTTCTTTCAAGGTTTGTGATTTTTAAATAGATAATTGTACATTAGATTTAGTGACCAAAAATTTTGTGCTTTGTTTATAATATTATAAATATGAATTGATAAAATCTTGTAAGACAGACAGATAAATAGAGCTTGCTTTCACTGCATGGGTAAATTTAATAAAGAGGGTAGCAATAATGATAGAGTACATGTATTTGCATATTTAATGCACATAAATTATAAGCAGAACATTTACACATTTACTTTAAATACTTTCATCTGTTTACAGATTTGAAGTCCTAAAAATTGGAGATCTTGAAAAATTGATTAAGAGAAGGAAATCTGAAGAAGATTCAATTCGTTACTTTATTTCCATTGAAGAAACATTTGACATTATTAAGAAATCTCATTATGCGCTGAATCATGCAGGAAGGGATAAAATGCTGAAGGAACTTGGCCGAAAATATTGTAATATTACTGTCAATGCTATAAATCTTTTTAAATCAATGTGTGATGAATGTCAACTTCGGAGAAAAAATCCGTGTAAAGGAGTGGTTGTGAAACCTATTTTGTCGAAAGATTTCAATTCTAGAGGGCAGGTTGATCTTATTGACATGCAGAGTATGGCAGATGGGAATTACAGATTTATTATGAATTACCAGGATCACTTGACAAAGTTCTGCATCCTTGAAAGTTTAACATCCAAACGAGCAGCAGAAGTTGCTTACAAATTGCTAACAAGTGTGTTCTTTGTTTTTGGTGCACCACATATTCTACAAAGTGACAATGGACGAGAATTTACTGCAAATATTATTCTTGAATTGAAAGAAATATGGCCAGAATTAGTTATTGTTCATGGGAAACCACGCCATCCACAATCTCAGGGAAGTGTCGAAAGATCAAATGGTGATGTTCATGATATGTTGGTAAGCTGGATGAGAGATAATCATACAACAAAGTGGAGCACTGGAATAAAGTTCGTACAGTTTCAGAAGAATCGCCGTGATCATTCTGGGATTAAAAGATCACCATATGAAGCAATGTTTGGATGTGCTCCAAAGATCGGATTGTCCTCCTCCTCTATCCCTGAAGAAATATTGCTCACTCTTCAACAAGAGGAAGACCTACAAATTCATGAGCCTCAGAACACATCATCTGAAAACAACAATCCGGAGGTATCCTCTCAAACACAACAAAGCCCCCCAAATCTTAGGAGAGACCCTACAGAAACAACAGAGGGGTTTCTATTGGAATTTGAAAGAGAGTGCACAGTTTGTAATGCTCTGTTTCAAACGGATGACAATAATCAGAACAGTTGTGATATTTGTTGTCGATCACAGAACATTCAAAGAGAGCGCCATGCCAGTGCTTCAAATATGTGTAAGCAAGCAGAGAAAATGATCACGAGAAGCAACCAAATTTTACGCCCCGTTCAGGTCCATGATAATGTAACGATACCCATCCCAGCTGTAGACAGAGGACGCGGAGACCCCAGAAATCTTCTTTGTCTCATCTTAGAAGTGGACGAGGCTAATGCACAGTTCAAACTGGGCACAAAACATGGTATTCTTCATGGAGCATTTTCTCGAAATCAGTTTTTACCATCATCAGTACATTCTTTAATGGTTGATGACATTAATAGAGAAAATGAAATTAGTGTTAGGGAAGCTGCTCGGCTACAATCTGTTGGGGATGGACAAGGCTTCATGAAATGTACATGTAAAAGTGGCTGCATCAGAAGAACATGTAAATGTCTAAAAGCAAATTTACTTTGTAACTCAAGGTGTCACAACAGTCTGTCCTGTCGCAATAAGTAAACAAAATGTTTTTAACACATATGTTTCTTTTTTACATTTTAAAATATATCTCCATATATTTTATTATACTGGCATACTATATTAAAGTTTTAAATACTTTTATATATGAAGTAATGTTGTTTTTAGAAGAATGTTTGTAACACAACATAGTATCAGTAAAAACGTGTAAAACTCTCTACATTTTTCAGTAAATACATGTAATTCCTAACCCTTTCAGTTATTACATGTATTTCCTAAAACAGCCAGTTAATACATGTATTTACTGAACGGGTTAGGAAATAAGTGAAATTCCTGATTACACATATTTACTGTAACATATATATATATATATATATATATATATATATATATATATATATATATATATATAGATATATATATAGATATATATATTTATATAGATATATATATATATATATATATATATATATATATATAAAGATTTCTCACAAAAGATCTTTACAGCAAACCAACTGACAAACATATCTACCTTAACAAAACCTCTAGCCATCTCGAATCTATAAAAATTTCGATTCCGTACGACCTTGGTCTTAGAGCACGTCGTATTTGCTCCACAGAGGAAAACTATCAAAGCCAACGTGATAAAGTGAAAAAGGACTTGCGAAAACGAGGATATTCTAGCAACAAAGTAGAAAAACAACTTACGAAAGTTGACAAACTCAATCGCTCGGATCTACTAAATTATAGAAAAAAATAAAACTCGATGTGACCGTGTTCCCCTTGTGTTGACCTATTCAAAAGGATTACCGAATATTCATAACATTTCGAAGAAAAGACAAAGAATTCTTCAAAATTCCGATCGCCTGAAACTCGCGTTCAAAAAGACCCCAATCGTTGCCTATAAAAGAGACAAAAATGTGAAAGACATTTTAGTGTATAAAAAACACAAAAATTTATGTTTTAAAAAAGGAAATTTATGTGAGCCATATGCATGTGGTGCTAAAAAATGTATTTTGTGTAAATTTGTTGTGAAAACCAGCCAGTTTGAAGATAATAACTTTTCAAGTCAAAAATTATATTAATTGTAAATCAAGGAATGTTGTTTGAAAAAGTGTGACAAAATAGTAAATGTGGGAGAAACTGGTGATAGTTTATATCAAAGACATGTTTTGAATTTGTCTTTAATTAAAGGGAAACAAATGATCCGGTGGCTACTCATTTTAATTCAGGTGTACATACAGTAGAAGATTATAATATAATAGGCGTTGAAAAACTGTATAAGAATGACATTTACCGCAAATATAGAGAAAATCTTTGGAAGAAAAAGTTGAACACTTATATACCATTTGGTATTAACAAAAGAGAACACTTCTGTCATTGAATTTGATTTAGGAACTTTATGAACATTTGTGTGACCCTGTGATACTTATTTTTACAGATATGCTTTTATATATACTTTAAAATCATCTTTTTTTTATATACCCCGTATTCTAGTACTTAATTCTGTATGAAAAAAATTTTGATACACAAGTACAATTTTAGCTCTCATAATATTTTCAGATGTTTTTGACGCAATTTTATTGCATGACGTTGCCTCTCAATTTCTATGTTCATTGTGACGTCATAATACTGTTGAGTTGCCATGCATTGAAATTAACACGACTGATGAAGGCCGGTAACACGGTTGAAATATTTCGAAAAGTGTTTTAAAGTTTATTTTATTATATATATATATATACGTTATATTTTCTAATTTAGACGCCGCTGACATTGCTCCGCCGTGCCTCATATTATGGTGCTAAATATTAATTTTCTTAAAAAATAAAAGCATTATGCCTCTAGATTAAATAAATCGATCGATGAAGGCATTAAAAAGAAAATGCAAAAGTCTTATAATATTGCGCTGAATAATATGAAACTGCTGTGTCTAGTATAGGAACTTCGGGACAATCCTCGTATCTTCCTTTTTAAAACTTTTTTCGTAAATTGTGACCCCACCCTTTCCCGGGGGTCATTATTTGAACAAATGAGAATCTGCACTATCTGAGGATACTTTTAAATATGTTCCATCTTTCTTGGTCCAGTGGTTCTTGAGAAGATTTTTAAAGATTTTTCCTAATAGATATTTAAGCAATAAACAACGTTAGTCGGTGAGTATGGCGTTATGAATAGCAATTTCTCTGCTGGCATATTCCATAACGCGCCCTTCTTACATTTGCATTCTTTGATGTTGTCGAGAATATCAGAGGAAATCCTGGCTTACATAAGAATGTTTCTTGTTGTCTTCACACGGCTATATATCTACTATACCTGATCATTGCACCTTTTCTCTAATAAATCACAAACAAATTGTACCGTATTTGCCTCTTAAACAAAGTTATCCTGATTCACGCTGCACTGTCGTTACATTCTCTTAATTTTTGTTTTGATGCAGTTGTGACGTCATCTCTGACAAAAATCAATAGTTTAACCTTATGATAAAAAGAGAGTGTTTTAATAATGATTATAACTCCGGAATGTTTTTCTGTGAATTTTTAAATTTTTCTATTTATTTTTAAGAGCTGAAATCGTTCTTTAAATAGACATACTAATTAAAGAATTTTTGCTTTTTCTGAATGTTTATCACCCAAGTCTGAAGAGTTATCGTTCTTTGTACAAATTTACAAAAAAAAAAAAATGAAAAGAAAACATTTCCCTTTAATTTCTAAAAAGTTTTATTGTACCATTTAATACATTGACCAAAATCAAATTTTTAAAGATAAAATTCTGCAATTTCAAATTGTTCGGAATTTCTTTTTTCCAAAAAAAATATTATTAAGGTCTTCCGTTTTCACGGAAGACCTTCTAGTGATTCTACTGTTTCTTATTATTATTCTTATTTTTTCCCCCAAAATTTTGTGCACGCGATTTCTCGAAAACTATTCAGTGGTTTTTCATGAAAATCTCAGGAATAATGCGTCATTATATGAAGTTGTGGCATGTATAGAAAAAATTGGAATACTCACCTTTGGTTCCAAGTTATTGACACTTTTCTGATTTTAAAATGCAATTTTGTCCCCCCTTTTTTTCGAAAATGGTTTAAGATATTAACTGGAGACTTGTTAGAGATGAAAGATGATGACTTTTAGATATGTCGAATCACCTATTCGTGTGTCGTCGGTACTTCCTGTTGCTGCCGGAAGCGAAATTAAAAAGTCCGCATTTTCTAACTTTTTTGTTTTTCAATATTTTTCATTTATTTTTTGGAATGGTAATAGAGACCTTTCTTATAATGCTTACTGTATGATTTGTTTGAATATTGATAAATCCAAACTCTAGATATTAACAATTAAAAATCTGAAGCGAGTCCAAAATGGCGGCCGTCTCTGTCAACTCCGACATTTCGCAATAAGGGTTTACGGAGGCAGCCGAACGTTTGCTTGAACGAAAGTTACATAGGGACAAATGAAATGTATAGGAATAGTTGGATTTTCACGTCATAGTTACGTTGCAATTCTGTGTCAAACTACGTTCTTCTTAAACGTCTTCTATAATTGGTTTTGGCTGGTTCTCAAAGTAAAAAAAAGTGTTACTTGCTTACATACTATATGGAATTTGTAAAATGTGTTAAATATACTTTCTAATCGTCGAATTTTAGGTTACATGAACGGTTTTTTATTTCATTGAAGCTATCACACGTATTAAATAGAACATTTCAAAGAAAAGGCGCCAAGATTTACTCGTGGCGTTTGCGAGAAATTATGAATAGTGACTAGCCTTTAAGAATTCTAAAACAAAAGCACTATTAAAAAAGAGGTATATACCAAAAGATTTAGAGCAGAGGCCCAATAGCGTAATATTTAGCGCGTTCGATTTTCATACTGGCGACTTGGATTCAATCCCCCTTGAGTGAAATACTTTTTTTTACATTTTCATCTCGACTTTACGTTTTTTTAACGGAATCGGACGGAAGACCTCTCGTTGCTCGCAACGAGATCGTATCTAGTTGAAAACTTATATTTATTCTTTTTACGGAACATTTCATATATATACTTCTAAACACGTTTAATAAGTGTAGTAGAGCTTGTCCTACACGAATGTAATAGAGCAATTGATCTTATAGGAGAAGCAGTTGCATCTATAGTGCTATGAACACAGTTGAAGCCTACATGTTCATAGTGGGAGAGAGCAGTGGATATGCTAATATATTCTTTTGTAAAAATTTGTTCGTCAATTGTGGACCAGTCCTACCACCGGGGGTCATGATTTGAACAAATTTGAATGAACATGACATGGGAATATTTACACACAAGTTTCATCTTTCTTTGCCCAGTGGTTCTTGAGAAGAACATTTTAAAATGTTTTTCATATATATTCCTATGTACAACTTTTTAATTTTTATCTAAACTACATAATGATCACAGCTAAGTTAAGGGCGCCCATTGGAAATATGACTTTAAATATTCCGAAAAAAATCAATATAATGTTGATTTTTTTTTATAAGCATGAGTTTTAATTTAATGGGAATTAAACAAATGCATATGTATTTATGGGGTCTCAACCGAGTTCGACCAAAGCGACTTCACGTACATCAGCTGTTTGTCACGTGACATGTTTAAAATTAGACAAAATATGTACGGATACAAAGATCGTAAAAGTTCAACGATATACGGATATTTTTTCACTATGGAATGGATTGTGTTTTCTTCCAGACAAATTTCTTAACCCGGACAATGCTGGGAGCAACTTCTCCATGCCCGGGTATTATATAAAATTTAGCTGACTTTTGATAAACTATGCGCATTTATACTATACGTATTGAAGAAATCTAAAATTACGGAAAAAATCAACAGCGCACAACTTACTCCCAGCACTATTCAAAATAGTAGGGACAGTAGCTACAAGTGTATAAAATATTAAATGCATTCATCACAAGGATGGGCATTTCTTTGAAAGACGTAAGAACTGATATAAGAAACAGGTTAGGCTATGTGATTCATATCTACATGTTTATGACATTAAGATTTTTTTTATATTTTTAGATATGTCATGATTTAATTCCAATATTGCAAAGGGATAACAAAGTTAAAAATCTAAGGTTAGTTTATATTTTTTGAACACTATATGTACGATGTATTTCGTGAAAAGTGCTGCAAACGTATAAAGATTACAATATAATTTGATATAACTACATTTGTCAGACCATAGGTTGAATATTTTACTGGTCAGCTACATAAGATATAGGTATAATTAATTAATTTTGCCCCCCCCCCTTTTTTTGACGATAAACAGACAGTGCACATGGGCAGACAAAGCAAAAAAATATTTTCCGGAAACTGATTACAGGAGTTAATAAATAATGAATAATTTTCTTCACCATGAGTGCATGGCACCTAATCACACCATGGGTATGGAATTCTAACAGAATGACAATTATATCTCAGCAATATAAATTTTGCAAAATGTTTTAAAGCTTTCACTTTTCAACAAACCTCCTTTTCTGTGAATTTCTGTAATTTCATGCCCGCTGTGTTCCTTGGAATCAATACAGTACTCACATAAAGAAAGATCACAGTCCGCACAATACTTTTCAGATGGTTTGGTTGGATGATTCGTACACTGCATATCCTCTAGAATGTGTGTAAAATAGACATATTGTAATGAGTATTTGAGACTGTAGATGCTGTATACATCATAATAATCGCATATGAATATCTTTGCCATTTTTATATAAACGTCATAAAAGTACACAGGGAGCTATTGCTTACCAGTTGGAAAGTTTCCACATATGACTCTGTATATATTAACTGTGTTATTGTTGAATGACCCAACCCAAATTGTGTGGGTATTATCATCATAATTTAGGTCCAGTGGTCTTTCTATCCCGTCTAATGTCGGTAAATGTGCCAGAAAGTGACCATGTTTGTCAAATATATGGATTGTGCTACTGTAAATGTCACAAACCAAAATGTTGGACAGCGCGTCTGTGCAGATTCCCCATGGGCATAGTTTTGATCCTTTAGGACTTTCTTTGCAAGAGAAACGAAATCCTCCTCGACGATCTGTCACCACTACAGCAAGATCTCCAAAATCAGACACGATAACATCTCCATTTCGATTTTCCGTGATGTATTCAGGCGAATCATACAGTCTCTGACCAGTCTTGTTGTGGAACTGTATGGTCTGGATGTGTTTTCCCGAGGAGTTATACCGCAATACCTTACCTTCTCTACACGTATTAGTGTTCAAAAATCCGACGAGTAGGTCTTCGGTGGAGCGGGAACTATAGACACACCGTGGTATCCATGGTGATGTGTTGTACTTTATCAATGTAGTTTTTTCTGTGCTATCTTTAGACAGTTTGTTGATGTTGTATTCTCTGTCCATGTAAATCAAATCACCATAACGGTTCACACTGTGTATTTCCCAATCATAATTTTGGTGGCTGTATTTATAAGATGATCTAGTTTAGCACCTTCTGAGTTTGTCAAGATGAGGTTTTCCCTATCATTTATCCAGACCCGGTCTGAGGACACTCGAGAAATATGCCATACACGGCTAACACCTGGTACTACAATAGATTTCTGGTACACTAACCTATACATCTTTTGAAGCAAACATTTATTCCATGCTCTTCATTTTCCTGTGAATTTAATCCATAGTAGAGCCTTGTGTTGCTGACCTCGGTCAAAGAGTTTATTCCTGTAAATTACAACTTTGTACTAAAATTCTCTACATTTTTAACACTTTATATATATAATGTAACTTGATAAAAGAAGCATTTCTCTTTCGACTAGATTAAATGTTTCTTGTATAAGTATATGTGTAGATACGCATTTTGCACACTATATTTAGGTATAAAGTAATGTGTAAAGAAAAAAACTGCATAATTACATAACTAATAGACACATATTGGAGGACATGAGAGTAGTGGTAATTGGCCATATAACCCAAGATGGACAGAAGCGCAAAATGGATAGAAGTGCAGAAAAAAAACAAGGAATAGTTCTTGATGCACAGACTAGGCATTCCGCTCTAGTGGTTTTGATAAACTTTATCAAGTTAATTATCAAGATTATTATAAGCAAGTCCCAATCCCGAATTGTAACAAACAAGTTCATATCTCTATATAGTGTAAACCTTTCCGTTGATTCGCCAATGCAGTTTTGACACAATTAATGCATATATTTATAACGTTTTGTTTTCTTTTTTTTTCATTTTATCCGATTACCATTTCCAAACTCTTAATGTATCCCTTTTCTACATATAAATTGCCATTCCATTTAATCATTCTTTAGATCATATGAGCCGTTCCAAGCAAAAACCTCCCTTATGTCAAAAATTTTCGAAAATGACTTTTTTCTTGAAAAATGATGTAGAACCTTAGGTGAATATAACCTGTAAATATTGCAGGTGTATCTTGCTCCTTTACAGATTTACAGGTATTCAAAGTATGCATTACTTTTACAGCTGACGTCGTATTTTATCAATTTTTCTCTTGTAGTGACGTCGACGTTATAGCGACGTAATAAAAACATGAATTACTTATACGCAATAACTTTGTATTGTATTGCCGTTTCGATTTATATATGTGCTTAATTTGTTGTAAAATATGTATATTTTTTTTATTAAAAAGTTGAGTTCATTCTTTTCTGTGAATGTCAATGGAGTTCAAATAGCCCTATGATTCGCTGACTTAGAGAAAACATCACAAATAATTGAAAGGTCTTTTATAAAGAAAAATTCACTTTTAATTCACTTTTATCGCTTAAGTTCAGCCCAAATCTTTCAAAACCAGTAACAACAAAAATATTTTAGTTCCCATTAATTTATATTTTTTGATAATTTATGTTAATTACTTGTCCAACCTTTGCCCTCAAAACAGCGACCAAGAGACAGCATTAAGGGGCAGGGGTTTGCGTTTTTATCAATGATCGCGCCGTAAGGATTTTGTAAAGTATTGTATTTCAATGTAAAAAATGAGTACCAATTATCTTTTTTTTTAAAATAATGCTCAGCTACATATGCATTTACTTTTCTTAATTATGTCCTAATTTGTTAAAATATGTTAGAAGGAAAGGGGGAGGGGGCAATGAAAGAATAAATATAAGAGTATTAGTATAAAAGCAATTTAGACTAGATATATATATGTTAAATCTGTAATTTATGAATAGTAAAAGTGTGTACTTTTCAGATTTCAAATTATGAAATAAATAATAAAAACATGACCTGAAATACTGAGAAAAAGAGTAAGGCATATTATTCAGCTTTAAAAAAAAATGTATATTTTCTACAGTAAATCACGTACATGTAGTCTACTAGATTGCCAAAGAAATATGAGAGTCGATCTTCTTGTGTTTTACGCATAGATCTATGAAAGTGAAAGTTAGACTTAAAATTTCTCAATGTTTTAGTCAGTTATGCGATCAGATCTGTAGTTTAAAATACATAAATGTCACAGTTTAAAAAAAAAAAAACTAAAAACAAAACAGGTTTTATGAGGCCAATTTCAAAGGTCAACACTTATATATATCATGAAGATCCTCTGAAAATGTACTAGTTAGTTAAAAGCAAAAAAAAAATTATATTTTAGAGACAAAGAAAAACGTGTAAGTCAGAGGGCCTATTTAGGGCAGCTTTTAAAGTCCTCGAACCATACAGACACAAATATACAACCTTTGATTACCGTCTTCATAGAAAAATAAACACAAAGAAATTTTATAGAAAAGAGAACATGTTACACATGCAAATTCTGCACATTGGACTGTCTTCCGGATAAAATGCTTCTAATACATTAGTAATATATATTATATCCCAGTCTACCCCTACATTTTACACACATACAAAGAATTTCCACTGTGTACAGAAGGGGGGAAGCTGGCCATTCTCTGTAACTACATTAACATCAAATATTCGAACATTCGACCATCCTTACCAACTAACTAGGAATCCATGTATTGTGAAAGTGGGGGGGGGGGGGGTTAAGTAGGTTACTTTTGTGTCTTATTCTTCTAGTTAAATTTACACGAAGACCGGTCCATCGCATGAAACCGCTGTCCCATGTCGCAGTATAAGTGCTGGCACGAAAAAGATCCCTCATTGCTAAAAGGCCCTAAGTACCGGTTATAGGACTATTTGCAGCTCGGCAAGTGGTGGCGTCTCCTTATGAGCTAAAAATTCGCGAGATGGACGTTTAACAAAATAAACACTTAATCTATTTAAATTTAAAAATTGAGAAAAGGGTCATCACCTTTACTTTCACTGCTAAAGATAAAAAAGAACAAGATATCTAGAAACCTCTTTTATACAAGATATATCCGAAGTTTGCTAGAAACATTTTTTTTTAAAACAAGATATATCTGACTTTTGAGTTTGACATCTGTAGCAGACAGTAAACTAGTATAGGGAACCTAGGTGAGCTAGATTTTCTAGCGATGAGGTCGAGTCTCTCTCTTAGTCTCTCTTTCAGGCAAGTTAGGCAACGGCGAGCCTGTTTAACCCTTGGATGGGTGACCGCTCAAAACATGGAAAGTAATAAGATATAGGCCTACATCACCGCAATGCTAACTGACATGCAAAAAATTTATGAGCTTTTCAGACTTGCATAATTATGTATGTGTCAACATCATTCATTTAATGATCTGTTTGTATCTTTTATTAAACACTTTAAACCGAGACTCTATATCATTTATTATTAAAAACGTTGTTAAAGGATAATAATTTGAACAGCAAATTAAAAATTGCATTTTTTTTATACAACGCTTTTCATCATTTTAATCTCTCCTGGTGGAATCTCAATATATTAACAAAACAAACTTAACTATCATTTTTCTTTTTTTCACATTTGCATCTACAATGCCAAAGAGTGGTCTTGATCCAGGTCTACTAAAATGATAACGGGTTGACTATTTTCTCATGTGCATACGCTTAAAAAAAACATGTCAGAACGTTTTTCAAATCATTTGACAAAAGTGTTTATAATATAAAATATACTCCTAGCTCTCATTTTCCAAGATCTAGCGTCGTGGGAAAAAATTCAGGTTATGTTCATCTGCATGTGATCTTCCTGGTGAAAATTACGTGCATGCATTTACTTCTTGCTACGTTAGATTAAGAAGTAGATCGGGAAAATACAAATTGATTAAATATTTTGGAAATGTATTTTATTTGCACTCGATTTACACTCATATGAACAAATATTGTGATTACAATCATGCACATAAAAAACGGAGACGGGGGGGGGGGGGGAGGGTGCTTTTTTTTCTGATTGTGAAATAAATAATGTACGTGTGCTTGTCAAAAACGGTATCTTTCACAACTTCGAAAATTTTGTAAAAAGATATACATGTATGTATTTATTTCTATATATGCTTTATTGCATATATTTTTTTGGGTGTTGGTGATGGGAAGGGGGTGGGCTACAACAGTATTAACAAGTTATCGATCTTTTCAACACCTAAGAAAAAGGAGAATGTCGGATAGACGTCTATTCAATGTATAATATAGCATTGTTAGCTGAATTAGTGTCACTTTTCCTCCAGAAGGTCCTGGGTCCACAATAAATGAAAAAAAAATACCCCGGATTTAGATCTGGCATTGGTGTGGTAAAACATTTCTATCATTCGGTTTGATTGGTGTAAATTCCTGAGCAGTTTTCTTGACATATGATTAAGTCAAATCAATAAACGCCAAGACTTCGGATAAAAAAAACATTTCAAACTACTCTTCCTTCCTTTTTAAAAATATTTTTTAAACTCATTATCATCATTGTATGTAATTTTTTGTCGTTGTTGAATAAGAAAGAATCGTTAATCTGAATTTTAAACAACAGTTGCATGTTTTATTTAGTTTAACTGAAAAGTATATTGTACATGGAACAGAATAATCGTCGAAGTGTTGACAGATTTTGTGTATTTAATCAGAACACTCTTAGGTCGTTAAATGTGTAATGCACATGTAGTTTGACAACAAGCAGAGTCAGAGCTGTTATGAAATAGACAATACACATGTAGACATGAAAAAAAAATATACAGAGAACAAATGAGAAAATTCTGAGACATAAAACAGAGAATTCACCTGAAACTCAGTCAGTGGGCGATAGATTTTTTTTACAGTTTTTGTTGCAAAATAATGACGTCGCTTTTTCTATTGTGACGTAAAATTCTGTCAGATTACATAAGGGTGGTTTTTGCTTGGAACGGCTCATATGATCTAAAGAATGATTAAATATAAAATACATGGTTACTGTCTTGAAATATAAGCGATATTTGGGCGAGGGTAAGAAAACGTGATAGAGGGCGAGGCTTGCCGAGCCCTCTTACGTTTTCGACCCCAGCCCAAATATCGCTTATATTTCAAGACAGTTATCATGTTTTTTGTTTATCCTG